GGGCTTGCCGCCCGCGGGCTGGCCGGGGCCCGGGTTCATCTGGTCCAGCTCGGAGGGCGAGGCCTCGGTGGGCGCGCTGCGGTTGAAGAAGAGGCTGCGCTTGGGGCGTCTCAGGAAGAGCGCAAGGACCAGGCTGAAGGTGAGGAAGGCCAGCGAGATGTAGTTGAGTGTGGAGAAGGGGACGCGGCCCATGGTGACCAGCAGCTGGCCCAGCACGGAGCTGGTGAAGACGCCGAGCAGCACCGCGGCCCGCGAGTAGCCGGCCACACGCTGGTAGTGGGCGGGGGGCACGAGCGAGAAGACGTAGGAGGAGTAGGCGATGCGGGCGGCCATGGTGATGCTGAAGAAGAGCTCCATGAGCTGCATGTGCAGCACGGACGAGCCGAACAGCAGGAGGAGCCACACGGACACGTAGCTCAGACCCTGCAGCAGCAGCACCGGCTTGTAGCGCAGGTAGTCGGTCAGCAGGAAGATGGGCACCAGCACGGCCAGGTAGGAGTACGACAGCACCGGCGTGATCTCGTTGGTGACCTGCGTGACACGGAGGCTCGTGACATGGAGGCTCGTGACCCCGGCCTGGGGGCCGCCCTGACGCTCCAGCCACCTGCCACGTGAGAGCTCCGCCCACACCCCACTGCCCCCTGTGCCCTGTACGTGGCCCCCTGCCAGAACTACGCCATGGGCGCCAGCCTCTGAAAATGTGCAGCCCCTTCGGGCCATCCAGGGCAGCCAGGGAAAAGCCTGACCCCCAAACCACGCTCTGCCCTGAACCCACCCCCACGGGCTTGCTTCTCACGCAGCAGCTCAGTACTGACACCTGCAGACTCCCACTGTAAACCACACAGAGTGAGGACACAATTGCCTACAGAGAGCTTGCAATTACCCTGTGAATCATTGGTAATTACGTGTTGTCGTGCGAATCCAGACTTAGCTGTCTTAATGAGACTAAAACATGATGTGATCTCACCTAACGACATGAGTCTAACAGCATGGAAAACAGAGTCATAACCAAGTCGCGCTCGCACTGACATGGCCGCCTCGGTCACGGGAGGAGAGGCAAAAGCGAGGGGCAGCGAAGAGGCCAGGAATACAAAGGGTGAGTTCACAGGACGGGTCATGCAGAACACGCAGGAAGGGAAGGAATGACAGAGGAAAGGAGGGCAGGGGACAGGAGGGGACAGCACAAGGGACACTTGGGAGAAGGGCCCCACAGCCACCCCACACTGGCCACACAACAGGCAGGGCTGGGCCCTCGCCCCACTCATCAGGCAAACTAGGACACGCGTCCTGATGGGGCCAGGACTCCTGGCTTCGCCAGGGGAGCTGCCCACAGCCTCGACCATTCAGTTCTCCACACAGACAGAGCCAGCCCAGCAGGACACTCCCTCCTGGTTATTCAGGGCAGGGGCACAGCCAGACGCACCCAGGGCGAGAGCCAGATGTCCCCCTGGTGGCCTGGGAAGGACCACCCCAGGCCCACTCTGCAAGCACCAGTACCAGCTCAGGAGAGGCCCAGTTCTCGGCCTCGCCCCATTTCTAGGGGATGGACATTGAAGGTGCCCTGTGCTCGGAGCTCCTCCCGAGGCCCAGGGGGGTCCACCTACCTTTCCTAAGCCCACCTGACCCTGCCCTGAGCCCCGGGGTAGCATCAGGTGAGCCCTGGGCCTCCCTGGGCTCTCAGAGGGAGGAGACAGCCTGCAGGGCTGCGAGGCAGCCCGCCCTCCTGCCCAGGCCCTCTGCCAGGTGGCCTCCTGACCCACGGGCCCACCAGGAGGCAGGGCTGACCTGAAAGGCTGCGGCCCCCAGAACACTGAGCACTGAAGGTCCCCAGGACATCCGGCACAGCCTCGGGGCAGGTCCACGGGGTTCGCGGGAAGCTGACTGCTCAGCTCTGGTCCCAGAGCCTCGGGGCCAGCTGCAGGGCTGGACCCTGTTTACGGAAAATTCCAGGAACATCTAACAGCTCCTCAGTTGGTGAGACCTCTTGGCAGATGGCTTGCTCAGCTGCAAGGTTTCGGGGTCGGCACCGTGGGGTCAGTGCTGCGGGAGGCCAGCCAGTTTTCCTCCTCCGCCTCCCCACTCCCTCCTCTGCATTCCATGATCTGCTTTCCTGGGGCTGGCTGCCTCGGGCCAGGCGGGAGTCTGATCCACATCACGCTTGTGGGACTTGCTGGGAGCACGGTGCCCATGAAGACCCTGGGGTACGTGGCGTCTGTCAAGTGGCACGAGGCTGGCCTCCCACTGGCCTCCGCCCTGCATCACTGGGCCACGTTCCCAACACCTCTGTTTGGACAGGTCGGGTCGGGCTGACAGGCAGAAGTCGGGAGCTGTGCCAAGATCGGGACCCAGGCGGCTTCAGTCAGGAGGCTCGGCAGGGGCACACAGCAGCCAGGACGAGTGGGGGTGGGGCTCGGGGCAGAAGGAGGGGTGCCGGGGGTTCTGAGGGGAGCAGGCAGGGCCAGGGCACAGGTGACTCCAAATTCCAAGAGGAGCGGTGTCCAGGAGCCAACACCTGGGGCGCCTAGAGGGGCGCTGAGTCCTGCCTGACAAGTGAGCAAGCCAGGACAGGCTGTCACGAGGATACTCCATGGCCCCACCAGAGATGGGGGGAGGTCAGCCGCGGGCCAGAAAGGAATGGAAGGGCCACAGTGGAGGCGGGCCCGCAGGGCTGGGAGTCCGCGCAGCAGCTTGGATGCAGACGCATCACAGGTTCAAAGGAGCAAAAGCAAGCCTGGGACCCTCCGGGAGGTGCTTCGTGAACCTGGGGAGCCAAGGCTCCGCACAAACCAGAAGCAAACTCTGGCTGAATTAAAACACGAAGCTGGCACAAACCAGAAGCAAACTCTGGCTGAATTAAAACACGAAGCTGCAGCAAAGGGGTCTCCTGATGCAAAGCGAGGGGATTGGTGCAGACCAGAGGCACCCGCACATGTGCAGTCCAGCTCCGCCAGCGCCAGGAGCCCCACAGGGAGAGGGCAGGCCGGTGGAGGCCATGCACCAGAGGCAGCCGGGGACGCGGGACCGGGGCCGAAATCAAGGAGACGCAGCTCCTCCAGTGGCCAGAGACCCTTCTGCTGCCCATCAGGTGGGCACAAGTCCAACAGCGCCTCGCCTCGCCACGCTGGCGGGAGGGAGTCAGAAGCCGGGCACCCACCGCAGAGGCAGCAAGGCTCGACCTGGGGACCACAGGGCAGCAACGTGCAGTGGCGCTGCCCGGGGAGGATGAGCTGGAGGCCCCTGGGGACCCTGGAACAGGGTGGGCCCCTTGGGGTTTGATGCCACCAGGCCAGAGTCAGGCGGGACCTGCCCGAACCCGTGTGGGTGAGGTGGCAGCAGTGGCCCGGACCCCCAGGCTCCCCCCAGGACCGGCCTCAGCCGCCCCTGCGGTCACGTCCGAAGCCTGGTGGGCGGCTTAGTTTCTGAAACCTACCACCTGATCAGCTAATGTGTAACCTGAGAGGGCAGGAAGGCGGGATTCGTCGCTCTTTGGCTTTGGAGATTTTCCTATTATTTTACCAGAGCGCCACCCACGGGCTCACTCCTGAGTAGTCGCAGTGGTGGGATGACAGCCCCTTTAAGGACAGAGTGCTTTTCCGGGGACACAGGCTGTCTGGCCAATCGGTGAGCCCGGGTGTGAGGGACGGTGGCTCCGAGGAGGAGGCCAGGGCCTGGGGGGCACAGGAGGCAACCCGAGGGCCCTGCCTGTCCCAGCTGATGGGCAGAGCCCCCCACCCGGGCTCACCTGGGAAGTGACCCCTCTGGCAGCTGTGCTGGCCGGGGGTGGCACGCACTCACACACATGCAGCTGGAAGCCTATCTGCTTCCCATGAGGGCTACTTAGAGGGGACAGGCCTCGTCTGCACGGCACCTCCATGTGACTTAATTCTGGGGTTGCTGAGGGCTGGGGGCCAAGCTCTCGCCACGGAGACAGGCAGGGGCTCCCTGGAGAACTCAGGTGGCAGGTGGGCCCAGCAGGTGGGGTCCAGCGCCAGGACATGGGGTGTGGGGACCAGTGGCCATATGGGAGGGGACAGAAGGAGCTGGGGGCGAGGGTGTGTGGCCCAGGGAGCAAACGGCACAGGCAGCCAGGGACCCCGCCATGGGGGGCGGGTGGGTCCTCAGGCAGGACAAGCAGGGTGGTGACCGGGACTCGGACTAGAGCCCTGACCATGCGCTCCATCAACCACCAGCCGCTGCGTCCTGTTCTGTTTTATTTTATGGAGATGGATCCCAGCGGGGACACCACCTGCGCTGCTTCTGTTCTGCGTGCGACCTGAGACTCACGTCCTGCGTGGGCTTGTTAGTCAGGTCTCAGTGAGACCCTGTGTCCTTGCTGCTGAGCAGAAGGAAAATCCCTTCGGTAATCTCTCTGGGCAAATCGGCTTCTGCTGGGAGCAAGTGCCTGGCGGGCGGGCGGGGGTTTCTGGGCAGGCGGGCCAGCCCGCGGTGGGCACCGCTCTCGCTCGTCCCTCAGAGCCCCACGGACTCCTCTGCTGGACCTGCCTTCGCTCTAAGCGGCCTGGGGTGAAGGTGACCACGGGGCTGGCGTGGAGCCCCAGCACCTGCAGCCTGCACCCCCCCCCCCGCCCAGCACGGCGCCCACGTGCCTGCTTCTGCGTGAAGTTCTTGTCGGGGCCCAGGAGGTAGGGCGTGACGAAGCTCTCCCCCGGCCGCATCTGAGCCATGAAGCCGTAGAAGCACAGGTAGGACACCAGGCACCACCAGGACTGTGGCTCGCGGCCCGGCAGGGGCTCTGCGGGGCCCTGCTTCTCCGCCTCCCGGCCCGAGAGCGCCATGCCGCCAGGCCCCGGCGCAACACTGCGGGAGATGGGAGGGGACGCGGGACCTGGAGAGAAGAGGCGGAGTCAGCGGAGCTCAGCAAACAGCCCAAGCTGCCTCCCCCCACCCGCCTCCCGGGAAACTCAGCTGAAAGCTCCCCGCCCACCGCCCGCCCTGTCGTTCAATCGGGATCCAACATGCCAGAGGGCAAGAGGGCCCCCAGGCCCCAGACCCGTTCCCAGCCCGGGGCTTTTAACAGTCCAGGTGCCAGGTCCACGCAGACCTGGCTGTCACCACCTCCAGGGGCTCCCCAGATGGCAGCCACCAACCATGTGAGGCCAGAAAATGTTACATTACTAAAAACCAAACACAGTCAAGATCCAGTTCCTTGGCAACACCTGACTCATTTCAAGTGCTCACAGCAGGGGCGAGGCTGCGGGGCTGCGCACACTGCCCTCCCCAGGTCTGTCAGCCTGCTCCGGTGCCCGGGGTCCCTGCGTCAGTGCCACAGCACCAGGCGCATCCAAGTGCCGGACGCAGCAGCTGGAGAAGCCGTCGCCCCCGGGAAGGCCCAGAGGATGCGGCAGGAAGGGGCCCTGCTGGGGCGCCTGGTGGGCACACTCCTGGTCACAGCCCTGGGTCAGCAATGGGGGCGGAGGCCCCCCAGGTCCACCGATGGAGAGCGAGACTTCATGCCAGCGTCTGACGACTTCAACACAGGCCCGGGCCTCAGTTCAGGGAACTATGGTCAGATGAGCAGAACTGCTTCCTCCTTCTGCGCTCCCATGTCTATTTCTATGACTCAGGGAAAACGGGCGTGGAGGGTTAACAGCAGGAAAACCCAAGAAGCCGGGGCTGGTGGGTTTGTCTCTGAGGCTACAAGGAGGGGCAAGGTAGGCGTGAGGGGGCAACGGTGGCCCAGGAGTTACAGGGTCTTAGGACAGCCCCTGAGTCCTCACGGGCCAAGTGAAGCACCAGCCGGGTAAGGGCTGGAACCCGCCTCCCCCTGCACCCCCAGAGGGCACACAGGCCAAGCGGCTCCAGCAGAGACTCGGAGGTTTGCTTTCCTTGGCCTGTGTTTCTGAGCCCCTGGGAGCTTCAGAGACGGCTGGAGGGGCGCGGCCTCAGAGAAGGGTGCATACACGCCCCGCCCACCGTTCCAGCCCCAGGACCCCCCCACGTTCACCCTGTGCTCCAGGTGTGCCGTTCTCTGGACGCCGGGAAACCCGCACTCACCAGCTCAGCACCCAGCACTCGGCTTGGGGTGAACAGCCAAGAACTTACCAAGCCCAGGGTCCCCAGGAGGGGGTCCCACCCTCCCTGTCCCCCAGGGGCTCAGGGGACCCCTGCACTTGGCCCTGAAAGGTATCATCTACGGGGCGATGGGAACTTCCCATACCTGGTGCCCCCAAATCCCGGGGCAGCGGGAGCAGTCCCAGACCCCAGGGCCAGGCAAGCACACTGCCATCTTCATTGCTACGTCCTGGACTCTGACGGCTCCTGGACCCTGAGGCGGCGCTTCTGAGACAACAGTGACAGCCTGTCAGAAGCTTGTCTGAAGGTCTGGGGCACAGCCTGGGCGGACGGACTCTGCGCCCCAGCACGGCCCCAGGCACGCCCACACAGGCTGCCTCGGGCCTCCCGGCTGCTCAGTGATAGGCGCTCCACCTGCTGGTATCTCTCGCCAGCACGCAGCCTGCCCCCACCAAGGCTCAGACGGGCCCCAGGATCCCCCAGGGTCACCACCATGCAGTGGAGACCGCCTCACTCCCCAGAAGCACGGATACGCAAGGAACCACTCCGGGCGAGGGCCAGGGAGCCCCGTACCAGCTGAGGAGCTCTGTAGTGTCTGCAGACGCCCAGGGAGCCAAGCAGGAGGTGGGGCTTCCCCTAGGGCACCCAAAGCCGTCTCCTCAGGTCAACCTGCAAGCTGCACTCCCTCCCAGCCCACCTCAGGGCCAACCCCATCAAGTGCTGGACCTCACAGGCTGTCCCTCCAGTCCCATCCCTGCAACCCGACCATAAAGTGCTCAGTGTAGGAGCTCCCCACCTTCCTCCTGAGTCACAAGACAGCTGGAAGGAAGGAGGGCGCCCCCACCCCCAGCCTCCTGGCCGCCTCTGCTCTTGGATCACAGGATGCTGAGGGCCGAGGGCTCACCCAGGGCTCATATGCAGACGGGTCTCGCCTCTGGGCTGCAGCCTATTGGCTGGCAAGTCTCCCAGGCACACACGGGGAGCCCTCCACCTGCCGTCTCTGTAAATGTTTGCTCAAGGAACCGCTGCCTCAGGACAGGCTCCGGGCAGGGGTCTCTGCAGGAAGGCAGCTCCCCCCAGGCCCTCGGGGGCAGGCACACTCACCAGGCCCATCGACTATGCCAGGAGGGACTGAAGCTCCCTCTGCTTCTTTCTCCCTCAGCCCGGCTGCCAGGGACCCACTCTCCAAGAATGTGAGTGGAGATGCCCGCCCTGGTCAAAGGCAGCTGCCTGTCCTAGAGAACTTACAGCCCCGTGTCCGGCCTAGTGACCCCCAGAGCCTCATCCTGCCCGGTGACGGGGGGCAGAACAGCAGGGCAGACGCTGAGAAGCACGGAAGGGGCCAGGCCCTCGAGGGGCTCCCTGCAGAAATGGCCCCTTTCATTCATTCCTGCTTCAAGTTTTTCCTGAGTGTTGTTTAAAAAAACCCTGTCCCTTCCACCCATAGGAGGCCCTCCTCTAAACTCGGGGGTGGGGTGGGGGCAGGGTCACGGTCCTAGGCCTCCCTCACCAGCTCCACCTGGCTCCCCGCCGATGAGGCCCCACTGCAGGGGCACCTGAGGCAGATCCCAGTCACCCTCACGGGCTGAAAAGCCACCACCAGGCACCACATAAGAGAGAACAGTGGGGCTGGAGTGGCTGGCACCGTGGCCATAGCAGCGCCACCACGTGGAGCTGGGAGCAATGGCATTTATTTGAACTAAAGAGACACCCCAGGGACAGGAGGCTCGGGCCACTTTGGGACATGCGGGCGTTTCTCCCATGCGTCACCCACACTTGGCTCGGCATCGCTGCACGCGCTTTCCAAAACTTCTAAAACAGGTCGGGGGCAGCCAGCTCGTGTGCCCACGGGCTGGACAACAGGGTCACGGAGAGGGGCTCAGCCCCATCCCAGTAGCACACTGCCACCCAGAACGGCAGGGCTTGTTCACCCTGCACCACCAGGAGGAAAGGCCACAAGTGCGGGGACCTGGGGTGGGACGACGGGGGTGCAGAGAAAGGGCAGGCGCAGAAGCCGGGGTCTCCGCCCGCATTCCAGGTGGTGACTGTTGGCCTCCGGAATCATCTCTCTGTTCATTCATGTGCCTCACGTGAGGTGAGTGTAGTGACAGCTCTGCAGGCGACGTGGTCAGCGACCAGAGCCAGGACTAAAGTCCGCTTCCACACATGCTGCCCGGGAAGGGGAGGTGGAGGCACCCAGCCAGGTGCTCACCGCCGCAGAAACAGCACAGAGGGCGAGTGAGGTGGCCGAGCTCAGGAGCATCAGGCGGCAGGGCAGGCTGGACCCCAAGTGTCCGGACCCCAGCCCGGCCCCGTGCTCGTTCAGGCCTCTTCAGGGCAACCGACGGAAGTACCGCTGGCCAGCCAGGAGGGTCAAGGGGAGGACGAGGACCATCAGG